AAAACGCTACTTAGTGTTCTGCTCGTGGTAGCACTCCTTCATCCATTGCTCCTACTTTTACCTCCACACTAGCTGCAGTGCAGACTTCTCAAGTTGAAGGGCAGGAATAGTTCATCATGGTGCCCAACCTTGGATATGTGTCTCGTCCCCTTCTAGTGCAGCGAGTTTTATAATCTACATTGTTGACTACATCTATCACACTATCCCCCTCTACATAGCACAAATATAAGTGATCTATTATTGTTGCATCTTTGTGTGGGTAACAGTTACAGGCCCAGACACCATCGAGATCGCTTCCAGGTTTGAGATGATATGAATTCACTTGGTAAGATATTTATAAGATCTGGCGCAAAACTTTATTTGATGTGAGTGTTATCATAACTGTATTATTTTATCATGTGTTAAGTTGGTATCTACCACAATAGCTTATCCACCAAGTACCGGATACCATTAAAAGGATTTATGATGCGTCTAACACCAATTTTGCTAAGATGCCTAAAGATACAAAGGTGGAGTGGTTCAAAGATTGAAATGTGATAAAAATTAATTAATTTATTTTAAGTATGATTATATCCTTTTACCCATATTGATTAATTTCTCTTTATGTAGAATAACTTCTCCATCCTCCAGGATGAGAAAATGATTTCAAGGCCTGAAAGAATCGTATTGCAAAGCAACTAAAATATATGTATATTGAGGCCTGTCAAAATCCATCATTTGTAGATTTGATAACACCCTACTTCATTCATGCATTCTAGGAGTATTGGCATACAGATGAATTCCAAAATTTTTCATAAAGAACAAGACAAATAGGGCATCCAATAAAAGAGGATCACTGCATATTAATGGCTCTATGACTTTGTCTGACACTAAGGTCAACTTGGTTAATAATTTTCAATTTTGTTTTAAATTTTATGTTTTTAAATTATCAATTGAATTTGAGAGGTTTATTAATTAGAATTGTAGAAGTTATTGAAGAGACCACCTACGCATAGAGATATTCAACGAGACATACACGTGCAAGAAAGACAAAATCATCTGAGTTGATGCACGATTTCAGGTTACGTATGTAAGTATAGTTATCGACATTCTATTTTTTATTAAAGATTTAAAAAATATTTCTTGAAGTTAATATATAATTATCTACACTAAATTGTAGAATGACTATGCTTAAAGGCCGGAGGTTGCATCTATCGAGGACCCAAAGTCTTTCGATGAGGGCACTATGTGATAAAAAAATAATAGACAACTTTTATAAAGTCCACATTTATGGCATGAGGGCCGCTTTGTAGACTTAATGTCCCCTGCATCTGTCATATGAGATTTTCCTTCTCTTATGTTTGAGAAAATGGAGGACATGGTTCACACTCAAGTTGATACCCTAAGTGAAAAGCTTCAGAAGCAAAATGATGAGATATAAAAGACCAAGGAGAAAGAGGTGTAGCAGCAACATGTGCAGATGCATCTATATTTCGAGTTCATAAAAGCGAGCAGCTCCACACTTTTTTTTCTTCTATTAGCTCTAGCACCACAAGTATTTAAGCTGATACAATATTTATGCTCCTCCTCTATCGACGATGATATCACTTCTAATAATGATCATACTGAGTACTAGTGATAGGCATTATTATTTTATTTTTTACATTATTACTTTAAATGCTTATTTTTTGAATTGCAAAAACATTTTAATTTAACATTTAATTTTTTAAAAAAATTTTAATTTTATAACTTTCTTTATGTTTATAAATTATAGTATATTTAGGAACAATAAAGAATAATTATACAAGTAAATAAAAATAAATAAATGTTATAGACAAATTTTTTTTATCTATAACATTATTTGTATATAATTTATAGACAAATTTAAAAATATATTTATATTAATTTATTAAAAATAAAATTATAGACGAATTTAACTTATTTACTAATCTAGTTATAATAATAAAATTCATCGATTTCCTTTTAAAATTCTATTTATAATTCACGTTTTTTACTGTGAGTATTTATTTCAATCTAAAAGAAATTTAAAATTAAATCTGTTAAAGAGTAGAAAATAGAAACCGTTTGTATCGAATCTCCCAGCTAGGTAACATGTCATTAGTTCCACTTTGTGCTGTAAAACTACGAGAGCAAATGCCGAAATGGCAATAGTGCCATCTAAATTGCTTTTAATAAATGTGGTCCACCACACCCGTGATCTTTTGGATAAGCTGCATCTTCATCGTAGATTAGCTTCAAAACAGCCAACACTGCCATATTTGCGTTCCTATGAAGGAATATATAAGTTATCTTAATCCTACACTCACCAGATCTTCCCACTTCCACCTAAGCATAATCCAAATCCACTATTTCTCTTCTTTTCTGCTTACTTCATCATTAAAAGTCTAATTTCTAATTGGAAATGTTATCCAAAACCATACCATGTTGAAGATGTTGCTTTGCTCAATATTTTGTGGGTCCCAAATCGCCCTGTAAGATGGTTTAGAATCTAAATTATGCTATGGGTGGAACTAAAAGAAATGAGAATGTGCCATTAAAGTGAGTTACCAAAAAGGTAAATTAAAAATATTTATGTCACAATAACTTATTAGAATAAACCAGTCAACATTTATATTTAAACAAATTTTTTTTTTAACTTAATGTAATATAACTTTTATCATTATTATTTATTTTCTTTTCTCTTTCTTTATCCAATCTTTTTTTTATCTTCACCATCAATGACTGAAATCAAATTATCTGAGTTTTGTGATACTCACAGTCCCGCCACATTTTCGTTAATAGATTTCTTCGATCTACTCAGAAAAGAGATAAAAAGCATATTACTAATTTGTTTTTCCTCTTTTTCTTTACATTGATTACTTGAATTAGGTATGAATGTACTACGTAGGATAAGATACAAACCTCCACTCTCCTGGAAAAATATAATAATAATAAGAAGAAGAAGAATAAGCACTTTAATAGTGTGACAAATGATAGAGTGACGATAACTGAGGACAAGATGCCGCATAGGCATATACTGTAGAAAGAAATCCAATTCATCAATAAGAGAAAGTTATTTAGTTCGATTCTATGTTATCCATTAAAAACTAATGCTACAATTAATTATCTTTAAGACAGCTCATTAAGAAACACAAAACCAACGTGCTTAATCCTGTAATCCGTAGTGTATATGTTTGGTTCTTAATCCACAGTGTGTATTAAATATTGTAAATGAGCAATAGATAAGGGATAGGAATGAATATAGCCGATGGAATGTTCTTTTTGTTTATTATTATTATTGCACAAATCTGCATCTCTGACGTATACGTTTCTCTTTGGCAGTGTGGCTTTCCCTCTTATACTTGACATTTTCTTTAATTTAATGTACTGACATTATTATCTTCTTTTTCTCAATCCCGGCCTATTGTATAGATTAATTTCATAGGTTCTTTTATTATAAGATGCAAACAAGGTTAATTAATTTAGATGAAACAGATGTAAGTAATTAATCGAATCTATACTATATTTTAGAATACTCAGTATCTGTAAATAAACAAATTTGTTTATTTGATGAAGTCATTCTTTTTCTTAAACATGTAACCATTATGAGAAATTTGGATTTGTATCGTCTTTCTTACGTTAGGAATAAAGTATTCTGCTTGTATTTTCTGCAATTAAAAACACTAAAAGTCAAGTAAGGAATTTTCCATTTTTTAATGTAATACGTAAAAATTAATGTCCATCCATCGACCATCATGAATAATAATACGTTTGTTAGATCTTACGCATGCAAAATCTCAGCACACTTGTCGATTGAGTTTTAGGTTAATAAACATAGGATAGGGTTTATTAGTTTAAATTAATTTTACTGGTCGATGGTTTAACTAATAACTTACGATTAAATCATTGATCTTAATTAACACAATTTTAAAACAAAAAAGAGCACATGGCTGAGACATAAACTTTGACGCTTGACCAGTCAACTAAATCAGTACCCTTCCTCCCATGCTTTTCACGAACTCGATTAGATCCTCTTCCGCGGATCCCCATTCTTCGCTAATCCACTCGTATTCGCTGTTACGCGGCTCGCTACTGTGCCAACAGAACAATTATATTTTCAAAAATTTCTATGTCTATATATAATTATATTTTCTTTTTATTTATCTCTTCCTTTTTACCCTTTTCTCTCTTTTTATTTTCACTTTATATGCCTAAAAACTAAAGTGAATAATATTCGTTATCCTTATATATACTTACCCTATAGATTCTTCTTTCTGAAAAGGTATTTTCTGTAACAATAGTGACTGTGAGAGAGATATAAAAAAATTAAAATAAAAAATAAATTATATAATTTAGGATATACAATAATATTTTAAAATATTTAAATAATAAATTGCAAGGAGTGGTAGTACGATAAAAAGCTTATGTGGGGTAAGGTGAAAAAGAAAAAAGAGAACACTTGTTTGGCAAAAATTCCGTGAGCGAGAGTAGGACAGTGAGACGCACGTACCTGCTATGGTGCGGCCAGAAATTAGCACTTTTTCATGGTACATGAAAATTAAGACTCTAGTCGTGTAGGTCCCACCACCTACGTCAAAGTCTTTTCTTTATTTCACTCAATTTCCCTCATTCACTTCACTCACCCATAGTCCCGCAGCCATTTTTCAGTTACCCAAATCGTCATCTTTCCTATCGTTGCATTCATTCTCATGGATTAGTTTTTTTATAAATAGTATCTACAATATTTTTAAAGTAACAAAACTCACTATTGACGACTTTATCGTTGGAGAATTTTAAAACGTTCTCATGTTCCTGTAATTTTACCCAAAAAAAAAAAAGTATCAACATGACAACATAAAATTTTCTCCCAAATCACTCACTCTCTCTCTCTGTCTCTTCCACCACCGTCCATTTCCCTCACTTTCCTCATATAAATGCCATGCAAATGCCCAAATAGCACAAGTGAGCAAATCCCAATCACACAGCTAGCCAACATAAGCCAAAGTGTCTTTCGCTATATAATGAGGCTAGCTATAAGACCAACTCCCCAATCACACACTTGCCCTTCAATCTCCAAACCCACCCCAACTTTCTCACACGCCACCCCTCCCACCTTACCCTTCAACAAGTCTCAACTCGCTTGGGATCGTCTCAAGCGTGACTCAGTGCAATGCAACTCGCCCAAACTCGGTCACAAGTGGACACAATACCAAGGAATCAACAACTGGGACGGTCTGTTAGACCCTCTTGACGACAACCTGCGCTCGGAAATCCTAAGATACGGTCAGTTCGTAGAATCCGCGTATCGCTCCTTTGACTTTGACTCCTCTTCACCCACTTACGCCACGTGTCGCTATTCTAAGTCCTCACTCCTAACCCGAACCGGAATGAAAAAAACGGGTTACCGAATAACAAAGAATTTACGAGCCACGTGCGGGGTAAAATTGCCAAAGTGGATTAACAGCATGGCTCAACTGCCACATACGCAGTCTAGCTGGATCGGTTACGTAGCAGTTTGTCAAGACAAGGAGGAAATCACGCGCCTCGGGAGGCGTGACGTGATGATTGCCCTGAGGGGAACAGCCACGTGTTTGGAATGGTTGGAAAACCTTCGTGCAACGTTGACAAAATTACCGAATCATATGGGCTGTGGCAACGAAGGTTGCATGGTGGAAAACGGATTTTTGAGTCTCTATGTGTCCAAACAAGGTACATGTCCGAGTTTGCAGGACATGGTGAGAGAAGAGGTTAAAAGAGTGATCCAATCTTACGGTGATGAGCCACTAAGCTTAACCATAACTGGCCATAGTCTTGGAGCCGCACTCGCCATTCTCAGCGCGTACGACATAACCACAACCTTCGAAAATGCACCAATGGTCACTGTGGTGTCCTTCGGTGGGCCCCGCGTGGGTAACGATAAGTTCAGGGCTCGATTGGAAAAGAGTAGGACAAGGATACTAAGAATCGTCAATTCCGATGATGTCATCACAAAAGTGCCTGGACTCGTGGTTCATGATGATGACGTGGCCTGCACAGATGGTGCCCACGTGGCGCGCCTTCAAAGTTGGTTCCGTAGGCTCATCGAGGATATGCAGTTGGTGTACGCTGACGTTGGACAAGAGTTGAGACTTAGTAGTAAGGAATCGCCCTATTTGAAGAAAGGAGATGTCGCCACGTGTCATGATCTCAAGACCTATCTTCACTTGGTGAATGGTTTCGTAAGCTCATCGTCTCCTTATATGACCAAAACGACACAGTATCCAGCCGAAGCTTGGCTTTGATTCTTTTTTGTTTTAATCACGAAATGTGTATTCACAAGATCAACCTAATATAACTGTTCATAAGATTCATTTCTATTCGCTCACAAGATCATCAAAAGTCACGTAATCAATTCACAAAATTGTTTTTCCTAGGTTTTATAAGAATTGATAGAAATAAATAAAATCAAATATAAAATACATTTTTTTTTACCTATTGAAATTTAAACACTCACGTTAAACAGTATATACCTGTTCTTCCTCCTGCATTTGTCACCCTCAATTGATTGTGATTTCCAGAAGAGACTTGTCCACTTAACCCCACTACTACCCACCATCTATCACTATATATGATAAGCTTTGTCCATTCATGGTCCCTGTTATTAATCTTCACTTTATTTTGTCTTATTTACTTCACAATACTGTTTAGTACCAAAAAAATTGTACAGAACACATGCGAACAAATTGCCCGTAATTTCTATTAAATAACATAATTTACTTTGTTTTCTCATTTAACTTGCACATAATTAATAGAACCCATCCATGTATACTCGTGTAAATTCATACTGATATTTATCATATTAAATAGAAAATTTTAATTACTTACATACAATTTGAAGGAAGTCCAAGCTAACATAACACTTGCTAGTGCCTATTATACTTTGAATCAATTTAATTTACTGAACTGGTACACAATTTGCCGACGAGAAAGGTAAAATTTTTGAAAAGCTTTGAGTCAATCTATGATGAGATCAACGGCTTAATATCATCCTATACAATGTTGAAGGGAAAATACTTAGGCAATTAACAATTGTAAGACATAAATTTAAATAATATATAGAATGACATCATTTTTATATTTTGCTTCATTTCACATCATCCCATTCCATTACACATTCGTATTCATATTCTCGTGTGCGTGACAGGTATGCCACTGTATAAGAATATATAAGATGAAGGATCACATGAAAATAGTGACTCCCAACCAGTTAATTAAAATAAATAACTAAGATTATAATTTTTTTGTTAAGCAAATCAAGCTTATAATATAATTAACTTAATAATATTAATCATTCATATATAATTAATTATTTAGTTAATATTAATTCTTCTTAGTTCTCACCCTCTCTGTAGATATGTCCGCATAGGTACAGGATGAGCGAACGTAAAATTTCAATAATTAACTAAAATAAATTTGACTGTCCGTACACGATTGTAAGACCAAAACTAATTTCACTCCTCTTTTATAAATTATGTCTATTTGTATTTAATTTTATATTTTTTTATTAGACAAATATTAATTAATGATTAATTGAAGTACAAAGGCTACTTCAACTCATATACGTAATTAAAATAAAGGAATGCATAAGTACTTTTGCTCTCAACGATCCAAACATAACAACTCAAATAGATGGATTTGTGTCATATAACAAATATATATAATTCTAATTGCAACATGAGACGTACTACAAAATGTACGGGATAACTTTTAACCCAAATTTTTTTTTTCGCAATCGAAGTGGAACTTCTAACGCAATTCTTTTCATTTTAACTATTTTAGTTATAAAATGATACACATATTATATAAATGATGATTAATGTATAAAAATAAGGTCGCAAAAAATAGGGTATCTAACTTGACTTAAAAATAAATACTACATAAAAGAACCACCGACTAAATCTCACCCCTTGAAAACATGGAAATTTTTCATTAGATTCTTCGTCTTGACAAAAGTTCATCTTATCCTTTTAGTCAGACCAAAGTTTTATAACTTCTTAGAGAGCTTTTGCCAGAAGCATCGAAGAAGAATGATAGCCTATAAACATTCAAGGCAATATTCTTCTGTTAGAACAAAGACGTGGGCTTTCTAATTTTCGATGGGTCCTGTGAGATTTATTTTAGCAATTTTTCCCTACATACGGCATAACTAATTAAAAACTTAAAATCTTAAATGAATGTTAATAATGATATTGTTGTTTTTATATATAAAGATTAATGTTCCTAAAACGCAATATTGCCGTCCTAAATTTACTTGACTTTTTGAAGAAAAAATTAAATAAATTAACTTTTTGTCACTATAAAAAAAAATATATCATTTACAAAGAAATGGAAATTATCAAAGATACTTTTAGTTAATATAGTTCTTAACTGAAAAAATTAAGTTAGTAAAGATTTTGAGTGTGTGAATTGATAAATAATACAGTACAAAAATGTTTATGTAATGGTAATATATATTAATATTTTATATTAATAAAAATATTTATTATTATATTGTTAATATAAATTATAAATATATAGTAATAGTTTAAGTTTTATTAAAAATATATTAATGAAGATTAATTTAATATAAATTACAAGTAAATCATAACTTTTTTGGTGTATAAAACTTGTCCTTGGATGTATATAGGACCAGAAAAGGTTTATTTTGAATCTTATATTTCTTGACACAGAATCGAATAAAACATAATTATTTAATGTAAGAGAAATATAAATAACATTTTTTTCTGTATTTTTAACACATTTTTATGATTAATTAAAATTATAAAATGATTTTAAAAGTATCACTTTATGAGACAAATACTTTTTTAAAAATAAGTGAATTATATTGAAAAGCATTTATTTCATATGTGTTAAGTATCGTAACTAAGTAGAAACTGAGTGATTTGAATACTTTTTGTGAACAGCGATAAACACAGTTTTCATATATATATATATATATGAATAAAAGGGTGGCTTATATAATTTTAAATTTCAACGACGTGGGTATTGGTGATGGGACACATGAATTGTTATGAAAGATATGATGATGCAACAGCAATGGGAATGACCTGGTAACGATTGCGACGAAAGTGAGAAGGTAATGATGATGATGCTGAAAGAGGTTCAGAGGATGGTAAAGATACATTACCAATGTAAAAGGTCTCATAAGAAACATAGCTCAATTGGTTTAGTCGCTTACTCGCTTTATCCATTTTTCCAAATGCACTAATACTGAATTGTAATATGCAATAGTATAGTGCAGTCCTTTCGTTTCCTTCGCAAACACAGTTATCATCATTCGAAATTATGCACAATGTACTTGACAAAATCCTCCATTTGACTTTACAAATTACCAATGATATCGTATGAAAAGATCAGATCAAACAATGTGCATGCAGTACGACCGATCTATATAATTGCACGCTACAGAATCCATGGTGTGTTTTTATCTTGGTAACAAAAATAAATATAAGGATGTGTCTATTACTATTTCTAATGTTTATTGCAGTATTTTTTAAATAATTTTATTTAGAGTGTTCGTTTTTATTAATCAAATTAATAATTAATGTATTTTATATAAAAAATTTAATAATAATAATAAATATATAGGAATGATAATAAAATTAGTTTCAAATGAGCTTATACTACTTTTAATTTGTGAGTAAAAATATATTATCATCTTTCTCTTTTCTACATCACATCGCATCACACAAAAAGGGTGTAAAAATATTAATATTAAGATATATATAAGTTGATGGATACTATTTGCTCCTGTTTATTTGAGTAAGTGACCTCTCTGTCGTTTTGAACTAATTAAGAAAGTCACACAGGATAAATTCACAGGAGGGTGTGAGTTTATAAACACAAGTGATATAACAACGTACTCCAGTTTGTCAAAGAACTAAATATTTCTTCAAATCGCTTTCTGAGTATGATTATAAATGTCAATATATTCTTACCTTTCATTCTAATCTATGTTCAGTATCCGATGCATGTTTCAACTAGCTAAAAAAATAAATTATTTCAATAGTCAATTATATTTATAATTCATTATTATGATAATTAATTATATAAAATGTATTTTATATTTTGATAGTTAAGTAAAAAAAAAAATTTATTTTGTATGTTAGTATTATAAAAATTAATAATATTTCTTAGGGTAAAAATACAAAAAATAAAAATTATTAAAGATAAAATAAAAGATAACTGCAAAATAAGTTGACAAATTTTAATCATAAGCTCTAAAACACACTTTAAACTAATGAAAACTAACAACACGGCAACTGATTTTTCTTGTCTTTCAAGGAGTTTTTCTTTTTATGAGAATACTAGGAACATTTTGAGCCCTTTTATGATAAAAGGAATAACCCAAATGAATAATAACCCTAGTAAGTTTTAGATTTTTTCTTATGGCAAAAAAGTTCAGGTAAATGGTAGCTAGGTGCAATGAACATTGTTTGTTTCCTTTTGAAGGAATTATAGCAATGAAATCCATTTAGATTCATGACTTTCAACGAACATTGCTTACTTCTTTTTGAAAGAGTTACAAAAACGAAGTCAGTTTAGATTCATGATGAGTTTTGTATTTTTGGAAAGACCGCGCTAGACTTGTTCAACACCTGAAACATGGGTGCAATGAACATTGCTTGTTTCTTTTTGAAAAGGTTGTACTACGAATGAAAACCAATTACGTTCATGAGGTTCTCGGTTATTTAATTTCATTTCATATAAGAAAAATTATATAATTTTAAAGGAGGATGGAAAAGTATTAAAGTAAGGAAAGAACTATAAAAGATCTATGTGATAAGATAACTACGGGAGTAAAAATTCTTGAAAGACTTTTTTCTATAAAAATAGGTTTACATCGAGAATCAATTTTTAGTTCTTGCTTATTTAATTTCGCATGTTTGTGAGAGACGTACAAAATTTATCTTGAAAAGTATGTTTCTTGTAAATAACATTTGTAATCGAGAAATCATGAAAAGGGATTAATTTCAAAGTCCAGCTTTAGAGATAAACTTTGAAATTAAAGAAATTTATCTTGAGAAGTCATGCGCATGTTTGCGAAAAACATGTAAAATATGCAAATTACTGTTTCTAACTTCAAAATCAAAGAAAAAGGTTAACTTTAAAGTTGAGCTTTCGAGATAAATTTTAAAATTAAAGAATTTTCACTTAAATATAAGAGTACAACATGTATATTTTGCAATTTTAGTAACAAAACTAAGACAAAATTCATATCAAAATGAAAGTTAGAGATAATATCATACTAAAATTTTATAAGTTCAAGAATTTACAATCAATTTTATAGAATAAAGTACCTAGCTAAAAATTCAATAAATTGTTATACAACTAGATATCTTTTGTTTTTGTGAAAATATTAGTCTTTAAAAGAATAATAAAAAATTAAAATAAAATAAATGAGAATATTAAAAAATATCTAGTCACATAAAATAAAAAATAAGTATAGTGAAGAAGATAATAACACTTATTGAGAAAAAAAAAAAAGGTTAAAATCATTTGAACATATGTAAAAAACTAATAAAAGAACAAATTGCATACTTTTAAATTACGTGAAAAGAGACAGAAGAAGATTAACAAAATCTTTGAGAAACTATTTGTTAATTAAATTTAACGACGTTGTATTATAGTTTTTGTTGGTGATTATTGTTGGAAAATGAAGGAGAGGACGGTGAATAAAACTATAATAAATGAACACCTGAAACGAGGAAACTGGGAAGACTTTGAAGAATGGAAACGATTCTAAACGCGGACGGTTGAGAAGACTTGAGTGGGTGTGAATCTCAGGTCATTATGGAACTAAATCTTAGCACAAGTTTTTTACGACGTTGCACCATAGAAGACCAAAATTCATCCAACAAATGATGCATCAAGCCATGTTCATTGGAATAAAACAATGTGGAACATGCCACTATTAATAGATAGATAGATATCAAACATGGCTTTCAAAAACAAGTGGCCAAATTTTGCTGCCCCAAAAGAGTTTTGGACTTTCTGCCATTCTTCGTACAATATTCCATTCTGCATATTCTTCCCCACAATCATTATCATACTATTCTGCCATTCATTACCGGCCAGTTTAGCTAGACAAATAATAATGCTACTCACACATTCCATTTTTAGGATGTAAGAGATGCAAAACGTACAGATAAATAAAAGAAAAAACTTCAAATATAATAAATTATATGATTTAACAAAATAATATAAAAATAAAATGCAAATATATAAGAAGCACAAGAATTATGATTTTTTTTCAGGTAAGGATTTCAGATAGCAGTGAGGATTAAGAGATTGTAAAAAAACAATTAAAAGGGTGTATGCATAACTTTGTCACTGAGAAAAAAAATTAAAACTAAAACGTAATTTGAACTATGGAAATTGCGACAGATCAATAACTAAATAATTTAAAATTTCACAAAGTCAATGCGAGTTTATTTTATTGCAAAAAAAGGAATGGTTTACGAATCAGAATTAGATTTACAGGTCAATTTTACGTACAAGAAAGAGTGAAATTTTGACTATTAAACTTTTAATACATCCATCCATTGTACCCCACCGTACTCGAGTGTATACTAATTAAGTTCATTATTGAATTAAAATAACCCAAAGAGTTTATTTTACCCCCTTTTTTAATTGAGTAATGTTATATTTTTACGAATCAGAATCAGAATTATATGAATGCCTTAATTACTTCCAAAGTTTGCTTATCACTCAAACTACTTTTATGGATATTTAAAGAAAGAGAAATGTTATATTTTTATTATATTTTTAAAAAAGTATTAAATACAAAATAAATATATTAAATTTTAAAACTATATACTTTTTAATAAGTAAAAAAAAATCAATAGTATTATAAAATAATTTCCAAAACATAATAAAGTATAAGTAATTTTTATAATCATGCATATAAGTATTGCATTCATGAATAGTGTCATTGGCCATTATATATCTATTAAATTTACTTATATATCCTCTGCACTATTAATGGTTGATAGATAAGTAGAATCGGGTTCGAAAAATTAGATCACACTTAAGAGAAGGAGGGGGCTTTTAGAGAAGGTAACAAATTTAAAATTTTCAAAATATTAATTAAAATAATAAATTAATATAAATATAATATATTAAATATTTATTTATTATCATAAATGTATATAATTTTATTAATTTAAAAATAAAATATCAGTTTTTCTCTTTCTTTCTTTTTCTTTTAAAAAATCCTACTCAAATAATTCCTTAATCTTACCACATTAAGGTGAGATATGGCATTGTCTGTAATAAACATGATCTTCGGTTAAGTACAATTCAGGTGAGTTCTTAGTTATGCACTAAGGTGTTTATAGTTTCATGATTCATCACTTGATATAGTAAATTGACCATTTAACAAAAATATTTAATAGAAGGATACTTTAAAAAATTAAATATATCAAAATCAACCTTGTCATCTTTTATTATTAAAAATTTATTATTTTTCACATGAATAATTGTACTAATAATGATTAAGAATAACTTTTCAAGAGTGATAGAGATGAACAAAAAAGTCTTTTATGGAACGATCTACCAATTATAAAAGGATTCATGTGAGTTTGCTCGTCTATGTCTAACTTATTGCAAATAAATAAAGGTACAATACCAACACTTCACGTCAAGATCACCCAATATATATCCTGTCAAATATTAAATAAGGGATAGAAAATCTACCTAGAACCTATCAGACCTTAAAATTGGATATATAAATTTAAAAGGATGAAAACGTTTAATCTTATGACAAGAGATTTTAATTCAAATAAAAATAATATACTTTCTTCATACACCCCATACGTGGAGGTAAGATCAGCAAGAGAACATAATAAATTAGTGTTTACAGTATAAAAGAGTAAAAGGTTAACTAATGTTCCTTTTTCTTTTCATTAAAAATACTCCTTTTATTTTTTATAAATTTTATAAACTTATGACATTGTTCCTTTTAATAAAAAAAAATCAACAAAAGTCAAGCCGAAGGCTATGATAATTCTCTATACCACTTTTCACACCCTTCTTTCTTCTCTCCAGTGAACGCACATTTTGTCCACATTCCTACAAATTTCTTCTTCCTTTGGGTTACCCTTTTTCCTTCTTGCTCTTTTGTCTGCGCCCCCATTCCTGTTAATATTAGAATTGAAGACTTAAATTTTCCTTATTCTTAAGGAAAGGCTTGACACTTTTCCTGCACCAAATATTACAAAAAGCACGATATGATCCTATAACGAACACTTAAATTGCTAGAGTACGAAAATTGGGGAATATTTAATTGGTAAAAATTGTACAAGATCAGCGTGCAAATGAAGGCATTTAGAGCCAAGTGAGTTTGGGCTTTTACTTCATTAATTACTCTTAAAATTCTTTGAATTCAACAACAGATATTCTTGAAGGAAACATGGAACAAGGAAGTGATAAGAAAAACAGTTTAATTAAACACTTGTTTAACAAACTTTTATCGTATGAGAATTTATTCATGCGCTTGCCTGTGAAACTTTTTAAAAAGTTTTAAAAAATTATTTTAATAAACTTCTATGGAAAACTTACGAAGATAAATTCATAAACAATGGTCTATATCCATGTAATTGACATGAGCACCAACTTTGCAAGCCCCGCAAGGGTCTACAAACAATGTAATTTGATTGATTAGGATAAAACAAACAAAGCTCTGAATTGCTCTAAAACTATGTAAACGTCTATGCTACCAAGTGATGTCAATTTTTTTTGTCATTCTCAACCTCGATTATCATGTGACGAAGCATAACAAGATATAGTGTAATTGTTCTCATTGTCAATCTCGTTTACGTGGTGACAGTGCATGATAGTGTAGGAAAAATTTTAAACCGGCCATATATAAAAAAAATTAAATCATTCATAAAAAGCTCTCTTCTTGAATGAAAAACACAGCAAATGACATCAATTTACCTGATAAAATCAGAAAGACAAAAAAATAAAGAATTAATAACTTAATGATAAATATCTAGATTCTGTATTGAGAGAAAAGATCATGGATTATCTATATTAATTTTTGTATTAGACAAGGGGATCCAATCCTACCCTGGATAAGAGGTATCATTTCCAACTGAAATGGAATTCTGCTAAGTGTGACTAAACTGAAATAACAAGATAATGTAGCCATAGATAGCTTGTAAAATTAACAGATGAAGGAAATAAAAATACAAAGTAGAATGAAGAATCCAAACTAAAAGAACTCAAAGTCCAGATAATTACCCCCAGACTTCATGTCATTACCTACCATTCTCTTACTACTGTTGTTGCTAACACCAATAGTATCAACTGCTTCAAACTTAGCTGGTGGTTCGGTTTCAACTGGCCTTGGAATTTCTGGTGGTGTGCTGCACCTAATCAATGCCCAGTTCACGCCTTCAAAGAAGGGGTGCTGTTTGATCTCAGTTGCACCTCTCTTCACTCCGAGACGGTGCTGAGGCTCCTTCACCAGCAAGCCTCGGATCAGATCACGGCTGGCATAACTCGTGGCCGGTGATTCGGGAAACCTGAGCTGCTGACCTACTACATTGAAAAGCGTGGCACGGTTTCCAGATCCTTTGAAAGGAGTTTTACCATATAATAACTCATGCAAGAATATTCCAAATGTCCACCAGTCAACTGCACTTCCATGGCCTTCTCCTTTGATGATTTCAGGGGCAAGGTATTCGTGAGTGCCGACAAAAGACATAGACCGAGCTGCTGTTGGTTCAGCAACAAGCTCTGGAAGCGTGCTGGACGGCAGGCCAAGTTCAGCTTTAGGCTTTCGCGATTTCTTATTTTTCGGAGCAAAGAGCCGAGGCATGAAACATGAAGGCTGGATGCATACTGATGAAGGTTCAATACAAGCAGGTTGAACACAGAATGCGCCACCAGCACGTTTCGAGGGGTCGCCGTCGAAAGATCTAATAAGGGTAGGTGAAACAGCACATCTGAGTGAAAGATCAAAGTCTGAGAGCATTATATGACCATCATCTCGGACCAATACATTTTCAGGTTTAAGGTCTCTATACACAACTCCAAGCATGTGAAGATATTCAAGTGCCAACAGGACCTCAGCAGCATAGAAGCTACATACACAGAATGGCAATTACTTCATTAGTGCACACAGGAAAGAAAAAGTACATCATCCAAAATAACCATCATATGAAAAAAATACATATTGGTTTATTAAACTAAATCATAATGGAATTGTTTTGAAATCTTCCTGCTGTTTCAGACATAGAAGAAAAACAACTCTCCATGTTATTGAACAACCCAGCATTTCATATAAAAATTTGTTTTTGTCCAAATAAAGTCTTGTGATCTCAATCTAAGTTGCCACGTATGTAAATGTAGCCTTGTGATTTCATGGATGTCACAACTCTTAATTGATCAAATAATTTTGGCAATTCACTGACGCAGGTCTGTTTCACCGCGCACAATTTGAGATTATATTTAAGATCAATCTCTGTCTGCTGCATAAATTTCTACTTTTGGGGGATTGTTGCTTTAGCATCTAATCAGACTAACCAATTACTGATTTATCCGCTCTTTCAGACTGACATCTTGAGCCTAAACAAACCCCGAACAGGAGTGGTTAAACCCAAAATCCCATGAATTTTAGATAGCTTGAAATTTTGAAATTGAATGACACTTGAATAATTTAACATAATCACTCATGAACACACATAAAGATCATAGAAAAAGGAAATCTTCATAATGGAAAGCAACAAAAAGTTTTGGTAAATGAAAGTATATTTGTGGAGTACAAATCATACCGTGCAGCATACTCTGAGAAATGTTTCCCAGGTTGCCGTTGTCTTAAAGTGTGTAGGTCACCCCCAGGACAGTATTCCATTACCAAACAGGAGAATCTGTCAGTCTCAAAATGAGTATACAACGTAGGTAGAAATGGATGGTCCAGCAACTGCAATATCTCTCTTTCTGTCTGTGCTCTAGTCAGCTTATTTCTGCTTGCTAAGGATGCCTTGTCCATAACTTTCATTGCAAAAAAACACCGTGTTGCACTCAGTTCTGAGAGATATACACTTCCAATGTCACCACAACCAAGTCGTTTGAGTAACCTAAAATGACTCATGCCCAAAATTCCATCCCGTAATCTAATGGCAAGGATAGCCTTCCACCTAGGATCATTTCCTTTGTGAGGCTTATTGGCACTACCAGTAATGTTACTCCAGTTGCTGTCATCACTGAGGCCACTGCTATCACTTGCTCGACTAGCACTAGTTTTTGCACTCTCAAGTGAATCCCCCCTTACACTTCCTTTAGTGCTATCACAATTTCTGTCTAAACTAAGCATGCCATCACTAGTGACTGCATCACTCCGATATGTACTTGCACAACTATTAACAATGCTCATTGTTCTGACAACACTAGTACTATCAATACTACTATGAGGACTGACATTGCCACTTGGAGGCAAAGAAGCATCCCAAACACATTCTTTCTCCTCAGAATCTGGGGCAAGGGGAGAGTTCTCCATATTCTGTGACGCACGAGCACCAGAAAATGGTGAGGATGAGTTAACCATGTCATTTGATTCTTCAACAAGACTTTCCGTAGGAGAAACAACAGCTAGGCTTGGTTTCTTAGTTGGAACACGAATTGAAAGATCATCTAAGAAAGGACCCTTCAAGGACATGCTCTTCATTAAGCATCCGGCCTCAGATTTGCTTTGACCAATTGGTACATAAACCGTTCTCATAAGATCAGTATCAACAGGTTCTGGGGGATGACTAGCACCGGCAAACGAACTTGGACCAGTTTCCCCTAAAGGATCATTGCTGCCCTTCAATGTCTCAATATCAGGCATAAGATCTTCAGGTTCTGGTAAAGAGCCCTTTCCTTTCCATGTTCTTGTAGGCACAGGGGAGACTGGTTCTTGAGAGGATCGTGTATCGAATCCCATATCTTCCCTTACCAAAACTATACGCGCATTTGATAATTGAGCCACTTCTCTGATGGAAGCCAAACGTGTCATCGGACCATCCCGTGCTTTAGAAAACTGATTCACTTCTCTCACTGAAATTCCACGCACACTTGAAACATCATGCCCATTTAGTTTCTGACCTGCCTCTCTTATTGCAGCTGTGTGTGCATTAGATACCTCAACAAGAACAGGTAAGGACCGAGGAAGTACCTTTGGCTCCGCAACCCTCTCCATATCCCAATATCACATATCAACAAACAAAGACTTCTAGTCAAGAAAACCCTGTAATTAGAGCAAGGAACTAATTAAATAGGAGCTTCACTAAGTTAGAGTTAAGTGAGCTTTTAATAAAATAACCAATTATCAATACAGAATAGGATGTGTTTTAAACAAGCGAAACAAGTTGGAAACTAGCTAACAAAATATGTAATGAAAAACTCTAGTAATCATTGTTTTCTGAGTTGTGTTGACTGCTGAAAGCACAAACAACATTATGAATTAGATCAACTTAGAATGACAAACGTAGAAGCTCAATTAGCAGCTTGAGGCATCAGGAATCAGAAATCATAGACACCATTAAACACAAAGCCTTGGGTAAAATGTTTTTCCTAAAACTGTTATAGCTGTGGATATGTAAGAGTTTAAATCATCCAAGTTTGAAAATTGATTAGAAATGGGGCGACACAGTTAACCAGAACAGATATCATGAAACGAATAGATGGAATATAATTTAGCTCGCGGATGCCTGAGAGAAGATATAATCAGACAAATCCTCGCAGACCCATCAATCAGACACCTCAAAGTACAAATCTTCGAGGAAGAAACCTCGACTTCTGATTAAATAAGATATACACGAGAGAGCGAGAGAGAGAACCCAAACAACAGGTAATAAGGACGTTGAGAAACGTCAAAATGCAAAAAGTCCATACATTTCTCTTTCGTTTACTTTGGATAATTATCACCTAAAACAACTAAACAAACAAAACAAAGAAAGAGCAAAAAAATGCTGAAAAAAAGAGAGATCTAGGCACCCCAAAGGAGAGAAAGAAGGAAAAAAAAACAAAATGAAGCATAATAGGAAAAAAAGGATAGAGACCCACCATTGAAATGAAGAAGAAAAACAATGGGTATTCCTTTGTTTCCCCTCTTCTTCCCTCTATTGTCTCCTTCCACAGCTGCTCGGAGCTTCTTTAGTGTTCCCTCGGCTCCACAAAACACACACACACACATACACACTCTCTCTTCATACTAAAACTTCGAAGGGGTGAATGAAACCACAATGACCAGAGAAGAGAAGAAGAAGGCAAAAACAAAAGCTTGATTAGCAGTGCTCTTGTTTTTTATTATTTAATTGATGATTTATTCCCTCACTAGAAGTGAGTTTCTCTGTCTAGGGAAGGGGCTGAGTGTGGAACTAAAGTGTAGTTGGAGATAGTTATGGTTAGCTTTTGCTTTCTCTTTTTTGATTTTTGGTGTTTGAATGAATGGGAAGAAGTTAATGATAGCTTAGGTAGTACTGTGATTGTGGTACACTTTGTTGAGCAGGGGAGAGAGAGTGTGTGTGGGGCCATCTGTGTTCCTTCTTTAAGGTACACTGCTTTTCAAAGGTGGGACTGAATGAAAGAAGGAAAGTGAATGGCCAACTCCAACTCATTTTAATGTTTTTCAGATTTTGGTAGTGCCACGTGTGAATCATTAGCGCCAATTGCCTTTTTTTTTTCTTGAATTCAAAATTTGCATTAAACATCTCATTAATACAGTTTCAGTAGCAGGATATAGTAATTGTTAATATTTTAATGTGTGTCATGAAAGGAAATTAATAATTAATATTTTATTAAAAATATATTAACTACATTTTTTAATATAAATTTATTATAGACTAATTTTATTGTAATTTTAAGTATTTATTTAGAATTGTATAATTATTATAAATTATTTTAAATGAATAAATGTAGGTTGATTTTTAATAACTCAAACTCTAAATTGTTAATTAAATTTTTTTTTTAAATAAACTGAATGATTTAACCAAGGGAACAAAATTAGGCTTATGAAATTAGGAATAATTGTGATTTTTTTATCCGGTGTTTACAAATAATATATACCAAAATATAAGATTTTGAAAAAATTACAAAAATATAAAAAATTAAAAATCATCATAGATGATTTTAAAAAAAAAATTTAAAAAAATTAATTAATTTGTTAGAATTTAAAATTCACCAACAATATTTTTTAAAAATAATTTATTTAGTAAAAAAGCACCATTCATATTTTTATAATTTTTTAAAAATTTCACATTCCTGTATATAATATTTTGAAATCTTATATTTAAATTAATTTTCCAACAATTGTTCCCTTAAAATACAAATAAATTATGTAACTTAATAAAAATAAAACAATAATAAAATTTGAATTTAGGATACAAAATTATAAGATTGATACATGTGTTTAAGTAATAAACTACAGATAAAGCGTTGTTGAAGAGGTTGTGGAGATTTTGTCTTTTATGATATAAAGTGGTCAAGATGGATATTCGGGTTGCTGAAGAGATTAAGGTTTTCTAATATCCTCTCCTTCCGCTTCATCTCGTTGCTACCCAAAGCATCTTCCTCTTTTGTTTTCTTCCTATTTCTTTTGTCTTCTATTATTGCTAACTCATTAAAATAATTTTTATAAATTATAAGTAATTTTAATTTTCAAATAATTTTTTATTTAAATTAAAATCGCTCCCTAAATATTTAATCTAACTAAACTCATTTAAACTTAAATTTAAACAATTCTGTATCAGTTAATTTAAGTGTTTAGTGGATATAAACACTTTAATGATATTATTTAGTATATTGATTATTTGTATCTCGTTTTGTCATCTTTGAGTGCCTATGTATCTAAAGCATGCTTATAAAATATTCTCCCTCTAGAAGGTAGTGATTTAATTTTAATAAAGTAGTAGTAATTATATTTTCTGAAAAAAAAAAAAAAGAAGCAAAGTGGAAGTGAATATAAATAAGGTGTAGAATTAAAAATGGAGGTTGACCAAACTGGGTTGGGTTGTACCGAGTTAGGTGATGATAAAAGAGACGCAGCGGATTGAAACCCCACCATGTGAGTTACGTTACACCCGTCATTTTTGTTGTATATATGACAATGCAGGTTGCTGTGTTACGTCAAAAAAAAATTGTCATATATATATACATATATATATATATATATATATGAAACTTGAAACCATACATTTTTTTTTTATGTATAGAGTGAAAATTTAGAAAATATTATTTTCTGATTTTCAAATATATTAATAATGCTAGTAAAACACCAATTGTTATTATAATATATTAAATTATTAATGTAGGTTTGCAATGTTTATAATAATAAATTTTTATTAGACAAAATTTACATTAATAGAAACAATCTTAACACTATATTTTCCATTAATAAATATAATTTCTTATAGTGCATTATCATATTCTTTAATTAACTCAATATTCCGTGTAATTATTAATACAATATTGTTAATCTTTAACTTAATGTGTCTACAAACATAATTTTGAAATTATATCTCGAGTTCAAAGCAACCTCTTATTAATATAGTTAAATCTGTCAAACAAACCCTTATTTCCAAGTTAAATGATAAAAATATTATAATGACAATTTTTATTAAAGAATAAATTTTACAATCAAATCAGTTCTTTAAAGGTTCTTTTTTTAAGTCAGTTTAATATTTATCATTAGGGTGCTATTTTAGTGATAAATTAAACTTTACCCCACACACACACAATTTTTGAAAAATAATTTTAAAATTTACTCTAGGATAAAATTAAACTCTATTTTAGATATGTTGCATGATGTGTATTTATCTAGCTTCACATGGGTTGACCAATAAGAAAAAAATTTAGACAGATTAGAGGCTAGCCAATTCATTGTCAAAGCCAACATAGCAATTAGGGATGGAGTGCATTTTACGAAAATAACGTTAGTTATACACTCTATTTTTTGGTGTGAGGTGTAAAAAAGACTGAAATACAAATATGTGAGAGCAATATATTTTTACTTTCTATTCCTATCTGATGCCCTTTATTAGAAAATTTGACATTAATAACACACGAATACATAGCATTTTCGGTTTAACATGTTAGATATTTTAGCAAGGTGGTTCATTTTATCTTTAATGTAATGATTGTTGATTATAAAAAAAAAAATAGAGTTGATGGATGTATTTGAAAAATCAAATGAAAAAAGAAAAAACTCTCTCTCTTCTTCTATTATCAAAATAGGATATAAAATTGACTTATGTTAGAGTTTTATAGTAATTAAAAAAGAAATACACTCAACTTTTTTTTTCGATTATCAAATTTATGAATTCGAGTAATTTTTTTTAATATTTTGTGAAAACTATTTCTATTACGTGAAAATTATAATGTAAGTAAAAATTATAAAATTTAAAATAAAAGAAGTAACAGTAATTTAAAAATAATAAACCATTAAAGGTAAAAATTACGAAAAGTCTAACATAATAAACATACGTGTTGTATAATTTAAAAATACTTATCTAACTTCTTTCTTATTTGCTATTTTTTCGAATTTATCCTTTCTGCATGTTTTTTTATTTATTTTTGGTTCAGCTCTTTTATTCAGCTTATTCCATAAAAATTCAAATTTGAGAATTCAAGTGTAAAAAAAGTGGGTCAATTGGTTTAAGTTTAAGGAGAGAGTGAGCTTTAAGTTTGAGTAACTTATTTATCTAAAATATCAATATTTAATTATTTTTATCTTACTTGTTTTTTAAATCTAACTAATTTACACGTTTGTTAACTTAAGCTTTTAGCATTTTAATATTTTTAGCTTAAACTTATACTTTAAGTTTAAATCTCTATTTTAATTTTTTTTCTTGGACGGTTATGCTTTTTTCTGTTGATTTTTTTAATGTGACAAATCTAACTTTTTTTAGACTTTTATTTTCTATTTTATTGGAAATTTTTTAAAATTTTGGGCCTTTATTCTTTTGTTATATTTTTTGGGGCTTTAACTTCTTTTTTAAATCAAGTTATGATACCATATTAGAATTTGAAGTGTGAATCAGTCTCTAATATTAGATTAGATTAGAATTTTGAGTGTAAGTTCAATTTAAAAATAAGAAAAATGTAAATTTTAAGTTTGTGCGATCAGTTTGTCTAAAACATTTCAGATTATTTTGACTCTCAGTCATTTTGTTTATATACTCTTGAGTTAATTATTAATTCATTAGTGTACAAATATACTCTGTATGATAGCAACAAAATTATGGTATGGTATAAAGTAAAATTGACTTATGGTTTATTTGGATAAAATTTTCGATGACTCTTTATCAGAGAAAAAATTAACACTAAAAATAAATAATTTTGTTTGTAAGTTATAAATAATTTATATTTATATTTTTTTTAATTTTTGAAAATTTTTTATTTAATTTTTCTAAAATTTGAACAGATAAATTATTTTTAATTAACTTATAAAAATTATTACTTTTATACTATTTTTTTAATACAAAAATTTCTACAAGTTCACCTTATTAAAATAAATCTTTCCACTAATTTAATTGATTCTTATCATATATGTGATTGTGGATTATGATGTACACTTTATAATAATGAAAAGAACCCATCATTGACTTGTTTAAAGCTAATAACCTAATATTTATTTGGTGGAAATAAGTGTTTTCTCTAATTTAATGAATTTTATAGATAGGACAACCGCATAGACTAATTAATACTTTGAATGAAATAAAAAGTTAGGTACAGGAAATGAAACAAAACAAATCACAGTGAATGAAGATCAATACCCACTTTTCCTTTAAGCAATGAGTCAAATTCCTTATTCATTATGGCTTTCACCCTCAATTTCTATAATTCTTCTGTTCTTAAATTAAAAAGCATATTGAAACAATAACAGGAATCTTTGATTAGAATAATTGATGTCCAATGGGTAATAATTTAGAGTGTAAAAAATGATGAGTGGCAGTGTGTGTTTACACAAAAGATGTCAAGTGGAGTCCACCAAAGTGGCTGCATGGCGTTGGCATGCTTATATTTTAATTCCATATCCCTCTTTTTGGGAATTCCTTTTCAGTACCCATTCAATGTGCCGTTGTTACTTTGACCGTACCTCTCTCTTCCTACTTCACAAATATTTTCTATCATTAGTTACTATGTTCCAGAATTCAATGGTTTGAAACTCATCGTACATGTGTAGAATCCAGAATCACTATACTAGTAGTTACTAAACCTACTAGTCAAACTGAAGTTTAGCTAAGCTTTTTAACGATACCTTACATAATTCATGGTTTTTGTTTTCATCACTTCCTGAAAAGTAATAAACATTATGTCTTTAATC